AAATAAAAGATGGTTTAACAAGAATGCGTTTTGCAATTAGGAATTGGTAGGATTTAGAACCGTTGTGTTTTTTGCTAAAAAGTCCTAAAACAATAATTACTTTTTACTGATTTATAAATATATGTAGATAAAATTGCACAAAATGTTTACTTAATTTTTAGCATTCGAAAAAATAAAAGTCATTGAAAATGTCAATCATAGACACTAAGTACTATGTAATTTCACTAATTGAAACTTATATAAACACAGCTATACATTTAGTACTATAGAGATCAATATTAACTGCTTTGTAAAGTTTTTAAGTCAATCAACCCTGTTTCCAAAATATAAATAATTTTCATGAATCAAGTCTCCTTCCTATTAGTCAGGCCTTATTTCTAAAGTTTGGAACATATTTATTTTGACAAAAGAAAGAAAAAAAGTACTCATACAAAGAAAATAGCCAAGCCTTTATTGAATGGAGAACCATATAAAGCTGAGTGGTACTAACTGCAAATTTATTTTTATGCCTTAGCTTAAAAAAACATGCCACCCTAGAATATTATTGAACTTGTACTGTTAATAATATAACTTGAAATAAATTTGACTTTACTGAGTATATATGTTATAGTTTTAACATATTTAGAAGCAGTCATTCGTATATCTTACAAAGTGGCCCTTTAAAAATAAAGTCATTTAATGCAAAGGGGGGCCAGGCCTGCAACAGTCAGGTGTCTGCTTGAGGGCTGCTGATTTGACCTTTGAGAGGGTTTTTATATCTTTCTGGACAATATATTTAAATAACAGAAGTTAGAAATGTGGGGCAGATGCCATTAATGACCACATCATATTTTCTGAGTTAATAAATCATTGTTATTACTTTCTTTGAGAAAAATGTTTTAACTAATTGAGTATTAAAAATAAGCTCTATTTATGTATAGATTTAATATATAATTCTTTTAGCATTACATGATATTTAAATGTTAAGCTTTGAAATTATTAGCATTGTAAGTTTGTAATATAACTGGTGGTTATATTACAAACATGCAGGAACATGGATAATAAAATAAAGGTTTTAACTGATTGCACGTTAATTATATTTCTAGTCAACGATTAAATTTAATAATTATTTTAATATTATATAATATGCATATTAGTTTTATGATACAGAAAAATCATTCTCACACAAAGAGCAATTAGAAGTTCATTGGGGTCTATGTGGCGTCATGTTATTGAACAAATCAAAATCTTTAAATTTCCTCCTTTGAGAAATGTTCATTTATGTAAATAAAACTCTTGCAGCCATTTCCTTTTTAAGATCCCTGTACTAAGTCAAACCACTCTAAAAATAGAAGGTATTTTCATGATTCCAATGACTTGAATGATTACGACCAATCTTCTACGCCCTCAATGGGGGAACCTTTCTTTTGAGTAATTGCTTCCTTACAAGCAGACAGACTTCAAAGCTAGATTTCTCGCAGATTCTTTAAAATGTTTAATATTTTAATAAATTTTTCATAACGAAATTGTTTGAATTTTTAAAAAAATATAAATAAAAAAACTTTTAGTAAATGCAACAGTGAAATATCTGATTAATTTATATTATTGTAGTGTATAATAGAATACTATATAATTGTAGTGTAGTAATTTATGTTATTACAAAGTCAGCAAATATTTCTGCAGAGGCCTTACGGGTGATCGCTTTGGAGACTATCCACAACCGTTATCCTTTTGATCACTGATTACACGTCAATACAGATATTTCACTTTCTTATTTTTTGCAGGAAGCTGAAATTCTTTGTCAACCGTTTTGCTTTCGTCTCACCGTAGGAAATTTCATGAATCGTTTGATTTCGCATGAGAATTCCCATAATGAAGTGTCCTTTCAGTGGATTCTCACCCACTGTGGCTCCCCGGGGAATACAAAGCCTTGCCAAGAAAGGGCTCCATGATAAATTTTTGGTTCCCTCAAAACCTTCTGGAAGCATGGGATTCCATTCAGATTGGAAATAGGATGGATTTCCAAGTGTTTCTTTCATGAAACAACTTTACATCTTTTGGGGAAAACCTTCTCTAAGCCAAGGCTTGTTATGTACTAGCCTTGTGCAATTGCAGCTTTTAGACTCCTGACAAGGTATTTTGTTAAAACTTTATTGACTCTCCTACATGTCTTTTTTTTTATGTAAATGGCTAAGGTATGACTGCTTTGCATTTGGACGCGTGCCCTGCACTATCTTCTTCCTCTACTCAAGTAAAGTTATGATGGAGAGCCTGTGGTCTGCCAAATTAGTGACTGAACGACTGGCATTTAATAATAATTTATATTATTCTTATTTTAATACTTAACTTTTTTGATTATTATTATAATTTGGATATATTCTGGACATTATACTGGGTTTAAAACTTTTAAGTTGGATGGCGTGATTGGGGAAGTTTTCATCAATTGGCTATCACATTGGTTAGACCCTTTTTCAGAGGAGCAGAAGGCTATGTAATACTGAAAGAATTATAATTTAAATCTCATAATTAAAGAGAGCTTATATCTAGTATGCAATCAGTTAAAACCTTTCCCACAAAAGAAGTAATGATATCGATTTAATCATTTCAGAAAATGTGATGATGTGGTAATTAGTGGAATAGGAACTCATCTGAAACCACATAACTAACATCTATTAATATTTAAATATATTGTCCGGGAAGATACAAAAATCCTCTTCAAGGTCAAATCATGCTTCTTCTAAACCTAGCAGAAATCATGTAGACACCATTGTTGAGGGCCTGGTCCCTGTTTTACATTCAATAAAATAGTAACATTATATCTCAGTTTTTGTATTTTTAAAGCACCACTTTGGATTTATGACTACCTTTTAAATTCAAAACATGTTGAAACCTTAACATATAAAGTGAAGAAGACACGCAGGCTCTTACACTTTACCTATGTTGAGATATTAATTTCCTAAAATCAATATACAGTTCACTTTGTTTCAGAATTCGACAAACACAGAAAATTCTAACAAGCAAGTTTATACACCTGTCTCACAAATGCAACATAAGCAGAAAGGGTTCTGAATTCTTCCCAGGTTTTATTGTTTACACTTAGTTCTCTATTCACAATACTTGAAACAATCAAACAAAAATTTATTTTTGCCCGCTTTTTTCAAAGAAAAAAAAAAAATATGAATTAAAAGTGTAAAAAAGTCTCCCCTACATTTTAATGAGATAAACAACTAAAATTATTACTTTGGAGGCAATTTATCCTTTTCTTGAAGCACCACTAAAGCTGGGTTTACAACCAAAATAGCTGTGGTTAAGTAACCAGGATCTGTATAAGAGAAAAGTTCAAATAACTAAGTAACCTTTTATAACGCCATTTTTTAGTATTGTTACAATATTTTTGGGATTGAGACAGATTTATAAAAAGAAACCAATTTAGCAAAGACAAACCAATAAAATTCTAATATTTTTAATGAAATATTACAACATGGAAATTGAAGCTGATTTGAGTAATCACATCTTAGAGTGCTCAACTTGCACTGTATTTATTGTAAATCCGCGATTTTTTATATTCATATTCTTACAAATTTTTCACTGTTTATTTTTTTCTTTTTTAAACCCCAATATTTTTTATTTAATATTGCTATGCGACTTAAAGTTTGAATTTCACATTTGACACAACATGCAATCGTCAAATTCTTCTTGATGTGGAGATATCGCGGTTTTTAGAACAAAATTTTCAATATTAACGCTGAGTTATTCCTACAATGTTATTAATACATGAAAAATTAAAATTGCGCATTGGATTAATCACTTTTTGCAGATCTTACTGATTCCATGGTAAATCCAAGTGTTGATATGACTGTTTTTCTGGCTGTTATTGTTATTGATTTTCAAAAATGCTATATTTTTTATGCTATATATTTTATGATTTCTGGGAGGTTTCTAAAATCGTGATTTTAAATTGAAATACAACTAGCTAGTCTGGAATCATGCATTTGAATAATGACTTTATGTTTCACTTGATTTAGTTGTAAATCCTCGTCATTTCGATGTCTATTTCTTTTTTAGCAGTTATTTTCATATATCACCACACATTGCACAATATTTAAAATCCCACTTTTTTTTTCATTTCTTAAAATGTGAAAATAATATCCCTTATAATATTAGAAAGTATTTATATTCTTTTATGTGTTGATGAAGAAAAAAGAATTATACAATGCATTTTTTTCCTCCATTAAACTTGTTACTTTTGTGTATAAAAATAAGTCTCTTATTTAATATTTTTTCTTTTTTAATTAAACAGATATAATCTTTGTTGTATAAAAAAATTAGTATGAAAGAAAATTGATAGTTCCTGACTATTGTTAAATCTTGTTGCTAAATTAGAAATGTAATATTTTGACAAATAAAACGTAAGAAAGAGTGAAAAAGTATATTTTATTATTTAAATGTACCTAAATTAAATATTAAAATACACATTTAAAGCTTATTTTAACATAGTTTGAAATTCCTTATGCCGCATGAATTTACTGTCGCAAATTTTTTTTTTTTTTTAGTTTCGTTAAATATAACACAAATAACTTTATATGCCAATTAATTTACTTGTTCGAATTTCTTAAATTTATAATAAAGATCTAAAATTTAGTTTTAGAACTTAATGTTGTTTCAATATATTTTAATTTCTATTATTTTTAACAGATATGCTAGTTTATTCAAGATTTATGTAAAATAAAATGACATTTTTCCTTTGATAATGTAAAAATTATTATCAAAACTTTTAATAATATACAAACTTCACTCTCTAAAAATATTTGGATGAAGTAATTTTAACTTTAAATAAAGGGGAAAAAGTTATAATTTTAGAAGAAATTTCAGACCAATAAAATTGCAAAATATTAATTATATTAAGCATCCTCTGTTTTCGCAGGCTGATCTTTAAGTTATCACCCACCCGCTCATTGAGGATTGATTTCCGTGATCTACAGAGAACAGTGTCTTACGATCAATCTACAGTGGGACTGGTAAAATTTTAGATTGCAAATTTTTGAGTCTTTTGACCTAGTTTAGGTACTAATCCGTTTTGGGCCCTGTAAAAAAACTATTATCAAAGAATATTAAGGTACTATTACTACAATACTTATTACCATAATGTTAGTAGTATTTACTACTACAATCGATTTAGCATTACTGGTGCTAATATTAGTAATTTTTAATAGCCCCCAGAAGAAATGGAATGGTATACGAATTTAAGTAGAATGAGGTTGTGTATCCGAATAATAAAGTGCTTGTAATGAAATATGGGGCCTGCACTAAGGATTTCAAATTATTAGCCAGTAAACTGGCCAAATATCAAAAGTATCGCCAATTTTTAAAAGTCTTTGCCAAAAGCAAATCTTTATTTCTTAACATAAATTTTTTCCCATAGAAAACTATTTTACAGTAGTTTGTTTCAAGCTTATATTATTTGGACCCAATTGAAATTGGTTATGCAGCGCATCTTTCCACAATTACTGTAATAGAATAAAAAATACTGATTTGTTTAGAAAAATTCATTTTTACATAATTTTGAAGTTCAAGTAAAGTATTTTTTTCTTCTTTCCAGAGTGAATTGTGTTTGCCAAAACACAATTTTATTCACCAAATTTACGATTTTATCGCATTCAGCAAGTTTGTTTCAGGCTTATTTTATTTGGACCCAATTAAAATTGGTTATGCAGCACATCTTTCCACAATTACTGTAATCTAATAAAAAATACTGATTTGTTTAGAAAAATTCATTTTTACATAATTTTGAAGTTCAAGTAAAGTAATTTTTTCTTCTTTCCAGAGTGAATTGTGTTTGCCAAAACACAATTTTATTAACCAAATTTACGATTTTATGGCATTCAGCAAGGTGGCCAATGCTTACTGCGGGCTCTGAAATATTGTTTTTTGCGAGCACCAATTATGAGATTTTGAGTTACTGCATCCATGCAAATACTTCCTAGAAAAGAAAGTGCTTAGTTAAAATTTAGTTCAGTTAGCGCATTCTTTATTTGTGCCAATAAAAATGGACAAGTCAGGGGTGGCAACTGTTTTGGCACTGGGGCCACTTCGTGGAAGGCTGCATATTTTAAAATGATTGCATTCAACAGTAAACGTTGCATTTCAGAAAAGATATAAATTGTAATATACAGCCTGTTCTAATTTTACTTTCGTTTATCTTCAATGAAGAGAAACAATAGTACTGCACTATAAAGTTCTATGTACTATATAAAAGTTCTGATTCTGCATACTGCTTCTGTAAACTAACTCTGCTTCTATAAGCGAATAACTTTCAGATGCCAAACTCTAGTTTTGTTAAAGTACTGAACAAAAATAAGCTAACCAGAAAAATGGGTAAAGAAAGTTGAGATATTTGTTAACATTCTACTGCTTCATGGCTTGTAATTGACTTTCTTCAAAGAATAGAAAATAAGTAATCACCTGGTCCACTAAAAACCGCAGTAACTGTCTTGTTTGGAGGTGAAGTATGTTTGTCAGTTAGCTTTTCCCTCCATTCTTCGGCTTTGATCATCACACTGAATCTTCCGCCCATTTTCTATGAAAAATTTTAAAGAACAATTTTTTTTATAAGGCAAGATAAAAACAACTGAATAACTGGATTGGAAAGAAATATTTTTGAACATCTATCACAATAAGTGATATACAAAATTTAAATAAAATACAGCAAGAATTTTTTCTCCTTCCTTTAACATCAGTGAAACAGTTCATCCTCAAATCAGCAAAGAATGATTTTTTTTCTTAAAAAAAAAGGTCAAAACAACCTTTATTTACAAAATAAACTTTTTTCTAAGGAATTGTTTTGATCACAAACATAGGAAAGTGTAGTACTTAGTGCTTTGTAGACTAAAGCAAAAGACAACATGAAAAAAAAAAAGCACAAGTACATAAAATTGACATACAATAGTTTCAGTTCTATAAACAAGAACCTTCCTCAGTGTCTAAATGTCAAATGAAGGCCGAGAAGTTAAAAAACGAACACGTTTAGAGACACAAAATTTATTTAACCAATGAGAACAAAAGAGCAAGAACAAGTAACAATGGGGAGATGAGAAACAGGTTTGAGGGGATTTTACGGGAGCCCAGGATGCAACAGATTAAATTAAAATTGACTTCCAAATTTAGGGATATTTGAAAGAACACTAAATAAATTCTTAGAATTTTCCAAAATATAATAACTTTCAAAAATCAAGATCAGAAGGTGAAGTGCAGTGTTGAATGATTTTATAATATCGTAATCGATGCAGTTCTTAAATATTGTAATATTGTAATCGTATGTTTTTCCTAACTAATTCTAAGCTTGTAAAAAACCTGGCAACTATATGAAAGTAGCTCGTAAATAAAGCATCTAATATTTTATGCTCATGTGTTGATATTTCTAATTTCTACTTAAATGTTAATTTGTGCTTTCTAAGTACTTCAGTCATGCAGGATTAATATATTACACTGGCGACGAGGTAATGATCATTTGAACTTACGACGCTTTTTAGTTAAACCTGTTTATGTCAACATGAGCAAGCTAGACCTGATTGGCACGCTGCATTCCTTTGACGTAGAAAGGGATGATTTCAATTTATGCAGTGAGTAATTAGAGCACTTTTTCCTGTCAAATGATGTTGAAGAAAAGAAAAAAGTATCGGTATTTATATCAGCAATCGGAACTCAAACTTACAAACTTCTTCGAAACCTGCTGCTACGGAAGCAGCCAAGTGAATGTTCCTACAATGAACTAAAAAAAACTTTAATGCTACATTTTAAACCGGCTCCAATCATCATTGCTGAGCGTTTTCGATTTCATAGACAAAACCAAACTTCTGAAAAATCTGTTTCTCAGTACCTAGTTGAGTTAAGAAGACTGGCTTCCACGCGTAATTTTTGGTGCGTTTTTTGATGAAGCATTGCGAGATCGTTTCGTATGTGAACTGTGCAACGAAAACATTCAAAAGAGACTTTTAGCTAAAGTTTTCCAAGATTTCCTCAATGTATGGTGATTGATCTAAGGTCAAAGACCCATCACTATTTCTTTCTATATGCATAGACAAAATTTCTTTAGCTTCACCAAGATCTCTTGCCTTGAATCTTTGTTTCACTTGGAGCTTGAAAGCACTTATATCTTCCGACATGCCCAAAATCAGCATGTCGTCAACATATATACCACGATACAGTCTCTTGTTAGGGTGGTAATATATGCAAGGATTACTCTTGGAACGCAACAACCCATAACTTTTCAGGAATACATCAAAGCAGTTATTCCATTCTCTCCCAGATTGCTTCAGGCCATACAAACTTCTCTGGAGATGACACACAAGGTGTTCTTTACCTTGTTCTTGGAATCCTGGGGGTTGCGTCATATAGATATCTTCCTTCAAGATACCATTAAGATAAGCAGCTGTGATATCCATCTGGTGGATAGTCATATCACACTCCACAGCCACGGCCAACAGAATCCTTATAGATTTAATTTTAATCACAGGTGAGAAAGTCTCTGAGAAGTCTTTTCCAGGAACTTGTGTGAAACCTTTTGCAACCAGACGAGCCTTGAATTTTGTCCCTTCAGCATTTGATTTTTTCTTAAATACCCATTTACACCCAATGGGTTTCACATTTTCAGGTCTTGGGACCAGTTTCCATGTTTCATTTTGACACAAATTGTTAATCTCTTCCTTCATGGCAGCTTTCCACAACTGCGCACCAGGAGACTCCTTGGCTTCCTTCAGAGTATTTGGATCTTCTATGTTCTGAGTAGCAGGTAAACTATCACTGGTGACTTTGTACAGCACTGGATCACCATAATATGTCTTTGGTTTTCTTTGTCTGTTGCTTTTTCTGATCTCAGTTGTCTCAAGGGTACTTTCTTGTCCACTGACTGTGTTTGGATCAGCAAGTTCAGCTTCATTTGTTCTCTTACTACAACTATCATTAGGAATTGGAACTTCTTGCTCTTCACTGTTGAGATTAATGGTTATTCCAATTTCTTCTGTTGTTTGATTGACTGGTTGCCTCCTCCTGAATGGAAACATGGTTTCATCGAACTTCACATTTCTACTAAGAAAGAACTTGTTTTCTTCTATGTTCCATAATTTGTAACCCTTTACACCTTCAGGGTATCCAATAAAAACGCACTCCTGAGAACGCTTATCCAATTTACTTCTCAGTTGAGTTTTATCAAGCTTTGCAAATACTCTTCACCCAAAAACCCTCAAGTGGTCAGTTTTAACCAGCTTTTTAGTCCATAGATTTTCTGGTATCTGTCCCTGCAAGGCTTTGGATGGACATTTGTTTCTTAAATAGCAGGCAGTGGTTATAGCGTCTGCCCACAAATCATTTGGAATGCCAGAGTCGATCAAGAGACATCTAGTCATGTCAAACAGGGTGTGATTCATTTTTTCTGCTATTCCATTTTGCTCCGGAGTTCGAGGAACAGTCAGCTGTCTCACAATTCCATTTTCAGTTAGAAAATCATCAAATGCTTGACTTAAATATTCTCCACCATTGTCGCTTCGTAAGGTAGAAATCTTTAGTCCATAAAAATTTTCAACGCTGCTTTTATACTCAATGAATTTCTCATAAACTTGGTCTTTTGATTTCATTGACTTGACGACAGTATATCTGGAAAAATCATCTATAAAGGTGACAATGTACTTAGAACCTCCTCTGGAAGTAGGTGTAATTGGTCCAGACACATTACTATGTACCAACTGTAGTGGTCTAGAAGCTCTTTCAGATTCTTCTTTTGGAAAAGGAATTTTTTTCATTTTTCCCAAAACACAAGTAGAACAAATTTCACTCTTCAGTTCTTATATGCTTTTCTTCAGATCCACTACCATTCACTAGTTTCTTGACTGCATTAATATGCAAATGTCCTAGTCGTCTATGCATAAGCTCTTCATGTTTGGATATAAATGCTTTACCTGTTTGTTTTTCTCCAATTTTATAAAGTCTACCACATCTGTAAGCAGTGAGAATAGCTCTCTTTTGTTTAGGATCTTTGATAATGGCTTTTCCCCCTTCAAAAGAAACAGTCATCCCCATTTCTTCGATTCTGCCAACTGATAAGAGATTTCCTTCAAGCTGGGGAACATAAAGCACATTCGGCAAATGAATATTTTCCTTACCACACCTCATTGAGGGCTGCAAAAAAATATCACCTGACCCACAAACTTCCATTTTCTCAGCATTTGCGGTTTCAACCTTAGATCTTAATGGCAATAATTCCATGAATTTTTCTTTCTGTGAACACATGTGTTCAGTGGCACCACTGTCCAGAATCCAGATTGTTGTGTCTTCAGCTTTAAAATTATTTGCTAATAAGGCAAAGTTCGTTTTTAAATCAATAGCAGTCTTGGCACTACTTTGATTTCTTTGTTGAGCTTCGTCACAATTTTTGGAGATGCGACCCCATTCTCCACAGCTAAAACACCTGACAGTTTTCTTCCAATTTGAAGCTGCTTCATTGTTTCTTTTCGTTGCCCATTTCTTCACAGTGTTTGTCTGCATCGGTCTTTTTTGAGTGTAGTTTTTTGTGTGAAGTGCACGTTCTTCCTGCTCTTCAGCAATGGGCACATTTCTATATATTCTTTTTTCTTCGACTAAGAGTCTAGACTTCACAATGGTTGTTGTCAAGTTATCTTCGTCCTTTTCTAAGTTCAGGATTAAGCTTTCATATGATTTTGGCAGGCCTATTAACATGACAAGGGCAACTTCTCTGTCGGTGAAAGCGTAACCACCACTCGACAATTTTCGGTGTATTTCAATCAATCTGGTCAAATATGATTGAATTGCTTCACCTGGCTTCAAGGAAATGTTGAAGAAATCCTTCATCAGCTGCAAAACATGCAGCAATCCAAATTTACTGTGCATATCTTTCAACACAACCCATGCGTCCCTCGCCTTGGCGCAGTCGCCGATATCATCCAAAAACGTGTCTTCTACTATCAAAAACATTAGGGTTAATGCCTCGTCATTCTTTTTTGTTTCACTTTCGGACATCTCTGTAAGGCCGTAGCCGGGTTCCACTGCCTCCCAGCATTTCTTCTGCACCATCAGTGCGCGAGCACGTATTGCCCATGCATGGTAATTCTCACCATTTAACTTCTTCAATTTGTAATCTTCCATGGTGACGATTTGTGCTATTCTACTGCCTATCTTCTTACATCCGAATTTCTAATGTTTACTTACACAGAGCTTCGTGCTGATAACGTGATGAAAAAAAAATTAGAGTCATTATTACTAATAGAAATGGTAAGCAATTAACACTGAGTGAAAAGAACACGCTGCAAGTTTACATCTTTATTTTGATCTGGTATTGTTGCCAACAAAAAAAATATACGAAAAATGAGCTTAAGTAAACCATAAATGAAAAAGACTAGCTTATAGCTTTCATGCTCGGGTATTGATTTCTATCAGAACACTACAAAATGCAACGCCGTTAGTAGTTGTACCAAAAAAGAATGGTGCTGTTAGGCTTTGTGGATATTTCAAAGTAACTGTAAACAAAGCGTTCGAGCCTAATAAATACCCTCTGCCTACGCAACAAGACTTGTTTGCAACACTTAGAGGTGGTAAATACTTTTCAAAACTAAACTTAGCTCAGGCTTACTCCCAAGTAGAGCTTGATAGTGAGTCTCAGGAATTATTAAAACTCAACCCTCACATAGGGTTAGTTCGACCAGTTACACTACAGTATGGAGTAATTGATGCACCTGCTATATTCCAGTCTATAATGGAGCAAATGCTACAGCAGTTCCCTTCAGTCATTTGCTTTCAAGATGACATTTTGATATCATTTGCGTCTAAAGAGCATCACTTCCAGTTGTCAGAGCAAGTTTTGCAACAGTTCCTTAAATTCCATGTGCATCTTAATGGCGATAAATGTGTTTTTATGCAGCATAAGGTAGAGTTCTTAGGTCACATAGTGGATGAAAGTGGAATTCACCTTACTAAAGAAAAAGTGTTAGCAATTAAAAATATAAAACCTCCTCAAAATGTTACAGAACTTAAATCTTTTCCTGGTCTGCTGAACTATTATGCAAAATTCATTAAAAATGCCTCAACATTGCTATCACCTTTGTATGAGTTATTAAACAAAGATATTCCATGGACTTGGTCTGAACAATGTCAAAAGACTTTCGTAAAATGTAAATTTCTATTGACATCCAATGCAATTCTAGCTCACTATGATGAGAAATGACCTCTGCAACTAGCTTGTGATGCTTCTCCTGTAGTTCTTGGGGCAGTATTGTCTCATATTGTGAATGGTGTCGAGCAACCAGTTGCATATGCTTCAAGGACATTGTCAAAATCTGAAATGAACTATTCACAGACAGAAAAAGAAGCATTATCTCTAATTTTCGGTTGTAAGAAGTTCCACGAATATTTATTTGGTCGTGAATTTGTTTCAGTCACAGATCATCTGCCACTACTAACTAACTTGCCCTGGATCCATTTCTGATTTGGTTTGTGTGAGCGTTGGTTTGTACTAATCTTCGCTCCTGATAAGTCCATACCTGCAATGTCAGCTGCATGTCTACAAAGATGGGCGATTTTATTGTCTTCAATCAAGTACAAAAAGGGCATTTTACACCAAAATGCAGATTCTTTGTCAAGGCTTCCATGTGATGTGAAGGAAGCATTGATATACATCAAACAGAGGTTTTAAAAGTATCCTACGTTGATGAACTACCTCTCACATCCGTTGACATATTTCGTGCATCTAGAAATGATAGAGTTCTTGGTGTTGTTCTCAAGTATGTGCAGTATGGATTCCTTGAGATCACTAAGGATCCTGAGCTGAAACCTTTTTTCAACAGAAGGGATGAACTCTCTTGTGACAGCAATTGTCTGTTATGGGGAATGCGTGTTGTCATTCCTGAGATACATCGAAAAAGAGTGCTCGATCTATTTCACAGAATACATCCAGGTATAACCAAGATGAAGGCTATTGCTCGTAGCCATTTGTGGTGGCCAAATTTAGACAAGGACATTGAAAAGATTTCTTTGCAATGTTTGGCATGTCAACAAACCTCTCGAGATCCTCCTGTCTCATCACTTCAACCATGACACTGGCCAAAAGCACCTTGGCATCGAATCCATATAGACTTTTCCCAAAAGAATGAATGTGATTATTTCCTTGTTGTTGACAGTTTCTCTAAATGGATCGAAGTAATAAAAATGTCTTCAACTATGACCTCTAGCACAATAACAGTCCTCCAACAGCTATTTTCAAGATATGGTTATCTAGTGGAACTTGTTTCTGACAATGGTCCTCAGTTTATAGCACATGAATTTCAACAATACATGAAGGCCTTGGGCATTGTGCATACTCTTATACCTGCATATCATCCACAGTCAAACGGTATGGCTGAGCGTTCTCTTTAGACATTTAAACAAGCTATAAATAAGATGTTGGCGGATAAAGAGGACACTTCTACTGTTGCCAACAAAATACAACGTTTTCTGTTGACATATCGTGCAACTCCACACAGTAGAACTGCCAAGTCTCCTGCCGAGCTTTTCCTGGGTCGTGGCATTAGAACAACATTGGATCTATTACACCCCAGCACATCTTCCCATGTCACAAAAAAGCAAGCCTCACAGAAATTCGATCATGACCGTGCACACTATCGGTATTGTACATTTGAGCCTGACCAAATAGTATGGGTACGCTCACACAAACCAAATCAGAAATGGATCCAGGGCAAGTTAGTTAAACCAAAAGGTTTTAATACAGGGATTGTACAGATCTCTGGGAAGTTGTTCCTTGCTCATAACGATCAACTTCGCTCCTGTTTAGTTATTGATAATGATTCAACTATAGATGAAATTCCAACGAGTCTCATAATTGTAACGAACTGTTCCCCTACAGTGATGCTAACCAATACATAACCCCGAACTGTCATGCTAACCTAAATACCCTTTCCAAGTGTGACATTAACCAAGATTCTAGGTCATCTACCAATTAGCCATCCTGTATAGACGACAATTTAACCCTAAGTGATAACACAAGTGTAATTGATGAACCTAAGTGTATAGATAATTCCTTTTTTACTCCAGAAGTTAGTGGCTATTACTTGAAGAATTCTGTTCAAAGAAACCCTCCTAGAAATAGAAGAAAACCAAGCAAACTTGACTTATGAACTTAATGTTTTATTTCTTTTGAAAGGGAATATTATAATATCGTAATCGATGCATTTCTTGAATTTTGTAATATCGTAATCGTATGTTTTTCTTACCTAATTCCAATCTTGTAAAATCTGGCAATAATATGAACGTAGCTCGTAAATAAAGCATCTGTTGATATTTCTAATTTCCACTTAAATGTTAATTTGTGCTTTCTAGATACTCAATGAGTCATGCACGATTAATATATTACAGATTTTAGTTGCAAAACAAAACAAAAACCTGTGATTTGATTTCCAACTGTGTAGAGTGATAGAAGATCGGTTAATGCCCTTATTTTGGATGTATCTGTTCTTTAAGTCAAAGTTTAAGGATACATTTAGTTTGTTAAAAATAGACAAGATCACCAGGGGAAAAATTGATAAATACACCAGCTATTAATAGCAGCAATAGGGTTTTTAAGGGGAAAAAACTATTTTAAACTAAACTTTATTCAATATCTTAGCAAATCGGGAACTGGTTTTTCGATAATAAGGTAAAACAATCAAACTGTAAAAGTTTGATTTGGAGAGTGTGATGGATTGCGAGCTTAAAATTCTGTTGGTGGAATCAATAATATTAGAGGGAAAATCACAGTATACAGTGATAGCTTTAATGTAAATCAGCTCATCATTGAGGAAATAACTAGCTGAACAAATTTTAGAAGCATCAGAAGGGGTAATTAGATGTGCGATTATGAAGGAAGAGTGAAACCCCTAGTGGATTTCAATTAACAGTAGCAGGAAATTTATCAGAATTACGAGAAGAAAGGTAAACACTGTTAATAAGTAAATTGTATGCAAAGATCTATAGAATTCATAATATTGAGAACATGATCAATGTTCTCTATCAATGTGAGTTACCGACAATGTCAACCTTCATCTATCAAAAAGTACCTCAACATTGAATCTAATTAGCATACCACAACGCTCTCCCACCTGAATTTTATCGTGGATAGAATTCGATGAACGGATACCAATAGTTGCCACATTTGTGAAAGACCGGGAAAGCTGTATTGAGTTTACTGGATTTTGAGAGCTTGGTAGTGAAAGCTGTATTAAGTTCACGGTTGTGTGTATGGTTTCTCCTGTGTTGCTACGATGTCAACCTTCATCTAACAAAAGGTACCTCAAGATTAAATCGAGTTAGTCTGCCTTATATACTTGTAAATTAATGTTTAATAGTTGTAGTAGTAGTGATATTACAGTGGACATATCGTCTATAAAAAAAGAAGCTTTAATAAATCAAAGAGTTTCACTTTGAAATAGTGCATAAACAGAGATTTAAGAAGAAGCTGAGAGAATTGCCTATAGCTAAGCCATCAATCATTCAGGGTTCCCACTCTATGATGAGATTGAAATTCAAGGACTTTCCAGGACTTTTCAAGGACCTCAACAAACTTTTCAAGGACCTTAATCTAAGACCAATTTTAAAAATTATTCTCTTCTATTTTACTAGAAGCGACAATGCTTGTTGTGGCAATAATTAATT